CCCAAGAGCCACTCTGCGCTGGTGTTGTCTATCATTTTGCCAACCTAATTCTTGTCTCATCTGTAGTCTGATGAACAGTAAATTCAGCAAATTTAGGTTAAAAACAACAAGGCATTAGGTCTTTGCAAACAGAAATGATGTACGCGTTTATTCACACATTCACAATCAGGCCAGTCTTGCATCCTCCAGCCGTCATTGTACCCCTCCCCCCTTTCATCTATACCTGCTCCAAATCTCCTCATCCATCCGTCACTCAGCTGCTTGTCTTGTCTTTCTGGGGAGCTTTAGCGTGTTTTTCTAAAGTGCTTTTCCCAGAATTTGAAAGGTTTCACTTCAAAAAGCTGAGTATCCGCTCCAGCATTGGAAAAAAAATGTCAGCCTTAGAAACACAGATTACTGCTCTTTGTTTTAAATGTTACATTTCCACAAGGAATGCAATCAAATATGTAGGGAGGTAGGATTTTAATGTGATTTTGAATACCAGTAGCCTGTTGATGTTCTCATAGGGACAATCATTTTTGTTTTACTGACACTGTGCTATCCAGCCAATCAGAGGTCATTGTCATTGACTCAATATGCTAAATAGGGACACTAATTCATTGTGGAATGCGTATTGACCATGATGTGTCCATGAACAGACCATATTAGATATACTTTCTTCATCAATGTCAATTCAATTCAATTTAATTCAATTTTATTTGTATAGCGCCAATTCATAACAGAAGTTATCTCAGAAAAGGTTATATCATAAAAAATAGTAATATGATATGTCCAGAGATCAATCACCTGTACACTTTGTAAGAAATCCATCATCCCATTTGTGTGTGAATGGGGTGAGTGTGGCATGTAGTGTACAGTGCATTGGGTGGTCGAAAGACTTGAAAGGCGCTATATAAGTACTGGCGTCTCTGGCGTGTGATGGCTGTGTCCCCCATGCATGCAACATTTACACCAACAGCGTGTCAGCTGTGTGGCTGCTGCCGAGCTGCTGCTGCCGGCCCTATGTTTCCATATACACTTTTCCCTGTATAATGTCCATAAAAAATCATTTAATTTACAATGCAATATAGTTTAAACGTAAGTTAGAGTGGTAACCACAAAGCTGTCACGTATAGTTTGAGAGAGAGAGCGAGAGAGAGAGCAGCACTGTACAGTCCAGAGATACTGCCCTTCAGCTGGCTAACTTCCAGAAATTCTTTCACAAGTGAAATTGTGTTCCTTGAGACCTACCTGAAACCACATATCGCAGGTTTTTCCTTGGAACCAAAGTGGGCATATCATATTCTACAGGTTATTGTGCATTGTGCAGCACCCTCTGTTCACAACGCATTCGATTGCTATGGTTCCACTCAAAACTGATGCAAACGCAGGCTGGTTTGCTAGCACTATGGTTCCAAGAAATTTGAACGGAACTGGTTCAAGAACCAGATCTAATTTGGTGAAAAAACTAAAAAAAAACTACTAGTTATGTACTAAGTAGGGCTGTGTATTGGCAAGAACCTGGCAATATGATACGTATCATGATACAGGGGTTAGAAGTCGGTAAATTGTGATAAATTGTGATACTCTAAGCAAGGCAATATATATATATTTTTTTATTTAAATGTAAACTTAGGAAAATTGTTTAAAGAACACACCACTATATGCATACAATCTGAGTAAAAAAGGTTTTTTGTGCAACCAGAACAGTGAGATTGTGTTTATCATAGTTGCTGTAACATCCAACATCATAGCCCTCAGTTTTCAACACTGCTATCTAGGTTGGGGATTTAAACTCGATTCAATATCACAAAACAAAATATTGCAATACAATATTTTTTTCATATTTGCTTACACCCCTAATACTTAGTATGTTTTTAAGAAGCTAAAGGTGTCAGTAGGCCTCTAATTAAGTGCTTGCACAGGGTCGCCCAACGTAGGGTCCAAAAGCCAAAGTTACAATACAATGCAATACTATAACTATAATTATTCTCATTACAGAAGCTGAGCCCTCACAGCAAACAGCAATACTAAACAAACTGTAACAACGCTGTATAAATATATGTGTAAGTTCCCTACATATGTGCTGCTCCTAAAAAGAACCCAAGTCTTTCTTCTTCCCTCCAATTATCTTCAAAGAAATATTAACAGTGTTCTTCAGGCTTTTTCTGTCCCCACCATGCGTTATAAAAGCAGCAGATCAAAGGAAAGGTCACAAGACTCTCAATAAAAGATAGTGACTAAGAATATCTGTGCAGACTGGAGAAAAGTGGAAGCTTAGAAAAAAGGTGTTCTCTCTGCTGGTCAGGCTTAATATTTTCAACATTTTCACTACTAATGAACAAAATTATTTTCACATCATTTTACAAAAGGGAGAAGAACCAAAGAACCTAATCGTGATCAATTTCTGTACCCTCAAGGAGAGCAAGATGGTTCTGCAGCTGTCAGGCTAGATGATGAAAAGTTAAAAATGAGTCAAAAAATGCCAGTCAGAAAATCAAAACACCATGACACGGGCAGGTATCATAGGCAGTATTTCAATGAAACTACAGAGTGGCTTATTATTATCAGTAGAAGAACAATCTGCACACAATAACCTAGCGTCAGCCTTGGGCTCCTCCAGATGTTGCTGCATATCATTGATGATGAACAGCTGGGCTTCCTCAACACTCAACACCCATAAAACTGCGGTGAATCTTATTCATCAACAGCTTTCAACTTTTAAATAAAGACTTCATGATCAAAGTCTTCACACATGAACACATGATACATTTAACATATGTTTAATAGCAAAACAAACATTCTGATTTCATCTGTGAACCAAGAGGGATTCACGTGTCATCTAAAAGTATGATTACACACTTACCTGTAACGAAATGGGTAAAATGAAGTCTAGTTTATTTATTCATACATGCAAAATATATATGCAGTATGAAGGCAATAGAACTTAAAAGAAATTGAACAATGTGCAGGAGAGGTTTGAAGCAAAAATGGCTAATGAAGATACCTCCCCTTTATAAATCTAGCCATACTTTAAAAAGAGAAAAACAGATAAAAGGTTCAAGCAGCTGAAATACAATATTGATAGAAATGTACAGTTATTTTACCAGAATAATGTTTACCAGATGAAATACATCATATTGAGATACATGAAATGTTATGAGTCTTTGCTAATTAGAGACCCTTTCTGATGTTTTTTGAATAAAGAGAATGTAGATATTGATCGTAGTGATGGAAGTAGAGATGGTCCTCTGTATTTCAGAGAATATTGATTAAGCGAAGTCCGACAATGCGGAGGATGAAAGTCCTTAGGGTGTTTTGTAGAATATGAAACATAATGATACGACAGAAATTCTGTGCAGTCATGAGTTAGGTGCACATATTTATACATGAACTCACAAGTGTGACATACGTTCACATTAAAAATAGAAGTTTATTTTCTGAAGAGAGGAGGAGATGACTCGCAACTTTTAGCATAGCTAATCATATCATAATCTCAAAAATGTCTTTTGGATTAGCAAAATCTTATATGATGGTGAAGTGGGACATGTGGCAGCCCAAACAGTATTACAATACATAATATGAGGATAAACTAAGCTGTGATAAAAACCTAAAATACAGTAATGATTTAACGAAAAGATTTCTATTGGCAGATCTTAGTACAAGCAGAACCTTATCATTTTTCTGTGCCTTCCACAACTGTGAATATCACCATTAAAGGTACAGTTCAACCGAAAAACAACTTATTTTTCCTCTTACCTGTAGTGTTGTTTATCCATCTGGATTGTTTTGGTGTGAGTTGCTGAGTTTTGGAGATATCAACCGTAGAGATGTCTGCCTTCTCTCCAATATAATGGAACCAGATGGCACAAGCCAAAAAAATCCATTTGAAAAACTCAACAGCAGTGTCTCTTTCCAGGAATCATGACCTGGTTACTCAAGATAATCCTCAGGCCTTGTTATGAGCATGTAGGCACTACTTTCTTTCTACGTATCACTACGCAGAAAGAAGCATGCATCTATTCATGGATGAGGGGCTCGTGCTCGTGACGCCGCAAGATGTAAACAGTGATGGCGTTCTCCTCGGCTAAGCTGTAACGTTAGCTAGCTCATCTAGCACTACTGAGATAACGTTCAGCTACGGTGTAGTAGCTGAACGTTAGTGTAGTTCAGTGGAGACAAAATAGCTGCCAAAATGTTGCTTGGATTTGGAGCATTATTTAGCTGCCTTCCAGACAGACTAGCATCACATGGTTGGTAGCAATGAATGCGTTAAGTTTTAGTTTAATATAATCTTAACTCCAACTTTAAAGAAAGACACCATGGAGTTGAAGAAGTTACACCTGAAAGTGGGAGGACAAAAAGTTTCGTTGTTCCACCCTGTTCCAGTGGCAGTGCCCTAATGTTTTAAACTCCGGGTATTGTTGCTTTAACTAAATCTAATAAAAAGAATATGTGTTTGTTGAGGGGGGACTTAGCTCTCTCCGCAGAGATCTGTATTTGCTCATATTCTTCGACGGCTTCCTCAGAGCCCTTTCCCCCAAATCTGCTATAAACTGCCAATTCCTTGATGCGAGTGGCTATGACTGAACGTCGGCATGTAAATCATGCCCCCGAACAAACAAAGTAATTTGTATTAATTTAAGCTTTTCTTTCATAATGCACTTTCCATGCAAATTACATGCAAAGAAATTACAAATGACATGCAAAAAAGTGCACTGATTGCTTGTTTTTGTCATGATAATTTATTCTGTTCCTTGCAGTGATTTCAACATTGGGGTGAGGGTATGTTGGAGGGCAAATCAATTCTGTTTAGGGGCCCGAAAATATTGTGACCAGCAATAGAAAATTGCTTCACACCATGCACCACACATCACTTTTCATGTCGTATTACAAATTCAGGATGAATTGGTTGAATCTATGCTTTGTTCTTTTTGAAATTCAGATTATGGAATATAAATAAATTCTGGTTGATTCAATTAATTTCCTTTTTTTTACTTACATTGTCTCCCCTCTGTCAGGTGGTGGAGAGCGAGGAAGACGAGGAACTGACACAGACGGAGGGGGAGAGCAATGAAGGTGGCCAGTTTGACGTCATCCCGCTGTACTCAGAGAGGGCCACCGTCTCCAACCTGGGCTCCACCGATACAGGGGGGGCTGCCTTTATCACTGTCCCTCCCAAACCCATACTACTGCTCCTTCTGCTTCTGTCCACCTTCCTCAGCTGGGCCTAGAACAGAGGATGTAGAGAAGACACACACACACACACACACACACACACACACACGTACATGCATATGCACACACTCAGATATTGGACTTGCCAACAATCCTGGACTGATGGCTGTAATATTATAGGAAGCATTGTGAAGAAATGGACTTCACATTTGGTCAGTAGCATCCCCTTGATTCCTCACGTCTGTCCTTGCCTCCTTACTTTCCTCCTTTGAAAATGGCACTTTGTTCAACATGGTCTGACTGCAGCTGCAGTGGTGTACTAATGTCCCAGGAGCACAGGAGACATGGTTGTGGTAGGGTGTTCACATGGCGCCATCAACCAATGAGCATAATGTAGCTGTTCCTGTCGTAAGGTCCAGAAAGACTCAGTTAGTTTGAGGAGCTTGCTGGGTTGTAATCACACAAACATTAGCAGGCCAAGGTGTGTTAGCAGGACAAAATATTGGCTTTGTGGACATGTTGCATTCTTGCCATATCCAGACAGTAACTGCAAGCAGCTGAGTTGAAAAAATGTTCATGTCTGCCTCCTAATTTTGAATCAGCAGTGGTAGATGAGTTTCTAACAGCTATGATATCTCTCAGTTGGCGAAAAGAAATAACCAAATGTCCACAAACTGGTGCCAAAATGGCAGCAAAGCCACCATTGCTGGCAGTTTAACAAATACAACACATAACATTATGATTAAACTCAATGCAACTATTTAAAAAGAAGCTGCAGTGCTTACACAGTTAATGTCTGGTTTAACTTATTAGCAAGATGCTACATGTACCAAAATAAAAGTAGCCTAGCTAACTAGCTATTTCCGTTTATCTGGTGTGCCTATAAGGATAGCAGAGGAAGTAACCGTCTTAAAATAAGGTGTGAACTCTCACAAGTCCTAACAATAGGGCGCTCTCCTGTTTTTACAGTTCTGCGTAGCATACAATGCACTTATCACTTTACCGTAGCATACTGTACCACGCTAACAAACGGTTGTGCTAACAAACAAAACAAATGATAGCATTTTAGGCAGACGGCACACAAAAGCAACAACTATGATGTTGCATACTGTTGTAAGCTTTTATGTCAATTTGAATTTAATTTATTTATCAATTGTGCAATAGCTAATTTCTGTGTAAAAGGGGTTGAGTTGAAATAATGAGCAGTCCCAAGCTGACTAGTGAGCTAGCTACCTGTATCAGCTTTGCTAGAACATATTTAAAATGCTGGCTATACAGAAACATGCTCCAAACTGAACTTTTAAAACATAGAAAATAAAAATCTGAAAACATTGGTACACATAATGTTGCAAGCAAGCGTTTTAGCATGCTAATAAACTTAGCTAGTTAAAGGATACAGTGTAACTTTTAAATGTTTTTTTATTTATTGCTACTTCAGAATCAACCACTGGCTCCAGATAATTCTCAACACACATTTTTAATTTTAAAAAGAGAGAAGAAAACACATTTCATAGCATGTCTCTGGAGTCAGAGCAGATGATGGGCCAGGGAACACAATAAATAAAGGATGTGAGTGGTGTAGCAAACTGGGTGCTTGGATGTGAACACCCCACACATACAGAAATTCCCCGCGGCTACAGTCGGACCTTGTTGTTATTTTGTTTTTGTGTTGTTTTTTTAACTTACTGATGGATGATGATTTGTCTCACTGGCTGCGACTTACCTGTCTATGGGTCATCTTAACAGTGACTGAAGGGGGAAGGGGCGTTGATGTACGAGGCATCAGTCAACTTTATCACGGTGATAAATGGAGCGATCCTCTTCTCCCTGCCGCCGTCACTATGCTACAGCCACGGTGAATGACAAATTACACACTTGTCTCTCATTGTTTAATGAACGTCAAGTGCCAAGTGCGTGATGTGTGTGTTTGTGCACGCGCATGAAGGGATCAGGCAGAGAGATTGCAAAGAAAATTGGGTAAAGCTTTTTGTTATAATTTGAGTCTTGCACTTCGTCGTTCCCACCCACGTCAGCACAGCCACACATACTGTACAGACACACACACACACGCACACATTTGCACACATACTGCCTGCCATGTTTTGAGCCGATGCAGCTCTTTCTTGCTTTATTGCTCTATCCCCATCCCTATCTCCCTCCCCGGTGACTCGGGACTGGGACCCGAGCTGCCACAGGCACCGATATGAATAAAGCCGTCATAATAAAAACAACACACCAGAAACAATATGAGCTCTAAAACGGCAGAACAAATCAAATAGCTCCCCAGCAGGCGAAAAACACACGCTACTTCTGACACCGACACAGAGACAAAATGAAAAGAGTTTGAGAACGAGTGGGAGAGAGAGATGTATGGAGGAGAAATTAAGAAAAAAAATAAGGCCAAGTCCCTGTGTGGTCTTTGTGCGTTTGATGTTTTACTTGTTTTTAGTTGGGAGGCTGATAATCAGTCCCTGACAACATCTCTTTATCATCTGACAGGCTCCTGGGGGGGAGGAGTGTGTGTGTGTGAATGTGTGTGTGTTGGTGGGGGGGTGTAGTGATAGAAATAGAGTGCTATAGCGAGAACAGAAAGGACCCTGGAGCACAAACATAGCAGAGAGAATCGCCGGCTCTTGATTTTCTATGTCTTATAAATCTTTTGCTGACACTAATTTTTTTTCCCTTTCCTATTTCTTGGGAGTGTGTAAAATTAACTTCCATCTGCAGGGGCGCCAGTGATGGTGGAGGGCAAAGAGACAGAGGAGGGAGAGAGGGAAGGAAGGAAGGAAGAAGGAAGGGGAGAGCGGGGAGGGAGAAGATGAGAAAGAAGGGGAAGACATGGAAAAGAGGGAGCATGAGGGGAAACAAAGAAAAGGAAAGCAAGGAGAGGATAGGAGAAAAAAGAGGAAACAAATAGGAGGGAGAGGACGAAAAAAGAGGGAGCATGAAGAAAAGATATAAGTAATAAAGAAGAGGAAGGAAATGAGGGATGGAAGGAAGAAGGAAGAAAAGGAACAATTGAGACAAAGAGAAAAGACAGAAGAGAAGCAGAAACAAAAGAGGGGGTGAGCAGACCTGGAAACAGAAGAGAAAAAGAAATAGGAGAATAGAGGAAGTAAATAGAGGTGAGGAGAAACAAGGGAAATATGAGATAGGGAGGAGTGGAAGAAATGCGAGGAGAGGAGGAAAAAGAAGGAAATGCACACTGAAGGAAAAGAGGGCTTAAGAAGAGGAAGGATGAGGAAAGGAAGTTAGGAGGAAAGAGAATGCAAAAAAGAGAGGGCAGGAAGAAAGGAAAGATCTAGAAAGATGCACAGTGAGATGAAGAGATGGAGATAAGAGATTAGGCGGACAGAAAGAAGAAAAGAAGAGTAACAATTAAAAAAGGAAGGGAGAGAATAAGGTAAGCAAAAAAGGAGGGAGAATGAGAGTTGAGAAGAACAAAAGGAGAAAAGAATAAGAGAGTGGTGGAAACAAGGAGTGGAGGAAAAAGTTGAGAGAGCTGAATGAGAATAGAAAAGAGATGGGGGTGGGCAGAAAGGAGAAGGAAGGGTAAAAGAGGAAGAGGAGGCTTGCTTTGTGAGGCCACCAAGGAAACAAACTACAAAGGGAATAAAAGGATGGGGAGAGAGATAGAGAGAGAGGTGACAGGTCTGCAGTGTACTTTAACCTCTCTTTCTCTTTCCTCTGCCACTGCTGTTGTATACACACACACACACACACACACACCATCTTAAAGGCCTTTCTATGTGAACACACCCCTCAGACAAAGCGTCTGTCAGTCAGCGAGCTGCGATAAGAGAGAGTAAAGCTCTGTTGGCTCACCTCAGACACTTCTTTAAACATTTAGCAGGCTGAGCAGTAAATACTGATGTTCTGTGAGGAGTTTGCCAAAGTATTAACGAAGAGTCATAAACAGCAATCAGGCGCCGTAATCTGACAGAAGATCCTGATTACAATGAAACATTCATTCATTGTAATGACTGCAAGTGTCAGTGAGGTGTTTTCATTGCACTTTACAGGGAATCAACAGACAGCTTTGTAAAGGTTAAAGAAATGCCTTACAACATCCGACTTAAGTATAATTAGTGGTCAAATTCAAGGTTAAATTCTATATTTTTCTTACTGTCAGTAAATCCCATCAACAGACCCAAACCAACGATGTATGTATCTACTAACAAGTACTGCTATATTCTCTTCCTCTGTGCCATAGAGATCCATTGTTGTCCTAAAACTATTAAGTAGATATAGAAGTTTCTGTGCTAGTCTAAAGGCAGCGGTCTGTGCTGATGTAAGATGAACGTACAGTTTTGCCTTCAGCCTGCTGTAGCAGTGGTTGATTTGAGGTATCTGGTTAGGGATGACTCAGCGGGGAAAAGTTGTTAGAAATGGTTTGCAGAGAGTTCAACTAGTGCAGCCTGTTGGAGGTCATACATGGCCTGTGGGTAAGCTCCGTCTGAGAAATTTATTTGATGTGGGCTCACACAGTGAGTCTAAATAGGGTTATTTTAACTGAGAAAGGGCAGTGATTGGTAGGCCTGTCATTTGAAAATTCTCCTGGTTTAACCATTTTTTGTGAACATATTGAATTGATCGGAGAAAACTGCAAGGTCTTACTGCTGTTACATGTAATGTGGGAAATGGTTGAAGTGTAATGAATTCCTTCTATTTGGAAGATCACAAAGGGGACATCTTGAAACAAGTCAGAGTAAGTCCCACTGGTGCTGAAAATCGCAACATTTCAATTCATTTCAACCCATTTTTCCATATATACTCTCAAGCCCCCAGGAAGAGCGGTAGGGTTTGAAGCCATTTGATATAGTGGCCAAACCATGTAATTACAGCAATGGCATTGATTGTGTAATGCACACTGGCCCAAAAAGGTTACATTGTGAGAGAAGCAGCAGTAAAACTAATTAGAATTTGATCCATCCAATCCGCTAAAATTTGAAAAGTCAAAGTCTCTTAGCAGAATTTGTTAATCTAAGCCTGAAATTGATATGGGTTGATCGGAAGTTTCTATATTTATTAGAAAACTATTTACAGAAGAGCTTCAGAGTTAAGGGCAACATACATTATCTGTACTGGATCTAGCTGAGTACTCGCACAACCCTAGTAGTCGACTTAAGTCGCTGCTACACTCACTTGGCTACTGTTCTCGCCTGCTGCTGTGCATACAGCATTTCAAAAGATACGCCTTCATCCCGACATCCACCTGTAGGCTCTGTGGGAACTAAAGCTGTGTTCGCACTGGGTTAGTGTCACTCCCTGCTGTGCCAAGCTTAATGTTTCGAGGTCAGAGTGTAGACAAATATCAATGCTGTGCATATACCGCGGTCACATAATAATGCAGTGCCTTGCTCAAGTGCAGCAACAGTGTGATGACACTGGGGTTTGTCTGCTGTCTGCTGAGCTCTGTCCGTAACAACAAGGCAATTCTCTTCTAAATTTGAGAATAGTGAGAATACATTGTACAATAAATTACCTCAAAAGGTGTTGAGCAGCTTCCTCTGACCTCCGAATCACTCCCTCCCTCCATCCTCCCCTGCATTACATAGAATTATATGCCAGGTCAGAACCCCCCCCAACAACACACCCACCTCCTGCACCCCCAATAGCGGGGGTTAATTGAGGTCGGCAGGGGGAGGGCGGACGTCTGATTGACGTGGCCGGCGGGGGCCAGAGTGACGGCCTTTTACCAGGCCCCGTTGTTCATTTTAATTGTTGTCTCGGCTGTTTGTCGTCAGGGGCCGACACTCGATGGTAGGACACGAGAGGGATGGACGGAGGGAGGAAGGGAGACAGTGGAGGCAGAGAGAGAGAGGAGGGAGTGGACACCGGTGATTTACATTAATATGTACTGAAATAAACAAGCGGAGAAGCCATGCGTTAAATCAACTCAGAGAGAGAGAGAGATAGAGAAAGAAAGCCTCCAGGGTGAGAGAGGAATAGAGGAGGATGTGTGTGTGCTTGGAAAGAAGCGTTCTTTTTATTGTTCTATTACCGTGCAGTAGATTTACACGCACAAATACGCACGCACACACACACACATACACACCATGTCAGATTTGAGGGCCTAGTGTGTCTGCTTTCTCTCTCCAGTATTTTAGTATTCTAATCCATCATTGGCCTGACATGGGGATGCTGTCTCTCTCCTTCCTCTCTCCGTCTATGTCTCTCTCTCCATGCTACCGCACATACACGGCATCCAAACGGAAGATAAAGGCAGAGCAGGGGGAAAAACAAACTCCACAGCAGGGAGAGCTTTATCCAAAGAGATAAAGAGGCGGAATAAAGCGGCGACGGAGAGATACAGAGGAAGTTGAAGAGAGGGGGGAAAAAGAAGCAGGAGAAGAAAAATAGGAGGAAGGGGATGGAAATGGAAGTGGGAAAAGCGGGGAAGGAGAGGAAAATGAAGGCAGGGAGAAGAAGAGGGTGAAGGGTTGGTGGGATGGGCGAGAGAGCAAGAAATAGATACAGAGAGCGAGAGAGAGATGTGTGTGTGTTGCAGTGTGTCGCGGCTGAAGCCTGAACCTCCCTGCTCCATTTCACACTCTGTAGGTCCTGACGCATCAGCGCTCAAAGACACACACACACACACACACACGCACACACACATACACACATCCACACAGGCTCTGTGCTTCTTTTTCGATTTGTAATTCACAAACACACACACGTTCGCCGCCATTTCTCAGTCATGCACGCAGATAAACAAAGATGCACAAACACACAGTCACAGTCGCTAAACTGAAATTCCTGCAGCTCTTGCCCTTGACTCTCTCTGCTTCTTGGATCCTTGCTTTCAATCTATTATACTGGGTTCACAAAATATTAAAGGAAAAGTCACCTCTAAAACATTGTAATGCTTTTTTGATATTAACTTTGATGCTTTTTCCCCCGCTATTTTGCACCAATGACCAACTTTGATAAAGTGGGAAATGTGTCAGAGTAGCACAGAGGTGAGTCAAAGAAGACCTGATACAACTAAAAGGTTAATTACAAGAGTGTACTGATTTCCCTTATGCTTAAATTACAAAAGTGGTATCTCTCCATACGGATGGTTTTGGCTTTATTTTGAAATAGTAGGCTCTGAGATTCTTGCATTCACATTAATATACTGGAGAGGAACAGAAGTTTGATTGTGACATTGAAAATTTTAATTAAAAGTAAAACAGCAATGCAACTATCCAGAGAAAAAAAATCCTGATTATTTTGGATAATCTTACAGCATAATAAAAACAGTTTTTTCATAATAATAGGATTCTTATTATATTGTTCTTCAAATGTCATTTATGTTTTGCTAACAGTGGCCCTGATTCCCCATAAAGGTATAAGTGGTCATTTGAGTGAACTGAACCACTGAAAGATTAATATTGCTGTTTCAGATTAGAAGTCATTATTGTATCATATAATATGTGAAAGAGCTACTTGATGTTTTCACTTACACCTTTTTGAATGACGAGATATTCATTTTAAGTTTGTGCGGCCTTTAAGATGTTTAACCTAGCTAAGTAAAACAGACTGGAAGCAGGGGGAAAATGCTGGCTTAACTTTATTAAAACTTGAAAAAACAGAACTCTCAAATAACTATTAAATAACTACATAAGTGACCTTAAGGGCCCCTAGAAAGTTAAGTTTTTGGACCTCTGTATTTCTAAAACCCTGCGTACAGCACTTATGGTGAGGTACTCCAAAGCAACTCTCTTGTGTAAACACATAGCTAGCTAAATGCTAAGAAAACAGTACTGAAAAACCACCAAAAGGGTTAGGGTTGTGCTAAATTAGGATACTGGCACCATTTTGGTCCAATTCAGGCACTGGCTTTCAGAATATGTGCCTCACTTGGGGTTTTTACTGTAGTTGCGGTTTACGTAAACAAACCAAGTAGCCAACAGTTTGTAAGGCTGGATTAGAGATTCACGCACAAAATAAAAACCCACATTTCTGTCCGGAAGCACAAACACACCTACGTTAACATTATAAAAGACTTGGATATCAACAGGTTTTTGTGACATGCGCAAATACCAGAATTTTTTGTGCATATTCAATGTGGTTTTTACGAGCCGTTAGCATTGGAGCTACCTCTTTACCATCAAAAGCTGAGAAAAGTGACTGCGTGCACCATCTCAAAAGAACTATCTTCATAGCGGGGTTACCGGATCCAGATGGTTGGATAAAAACATAATGGCTCACATCTGTAATGTTTGTTGCATTTTATTGAATCCAGTTTATTGTTCTAAAAATAAGTGCTTCATTGCTAGCTCTACTGACCTGTTCTCGACAAGCATTATCACACCATCTGCAGCACAGATACTGGTCTGTTTAACAAGCAGTCATTTGCCAAGACTCACATGAACAAAGTACATCACTTTAAAAATATGTTTTCAGATTTTGCTTGAGGTTAGTTATTTTCCCCAGCTTCTAGTCTTTGTGCTAAATTAGGCTAAACACACAGATTGAACTGAACTCCATCTTCTCATCTGACGTAAGAGGGGGTCGTAAATGTTTGGCATTCCTTTAATATGTATCGGAATATTAACACCATCTACGATCTGCTGAAAGATATGCTATTCAGATTCCTTGAAGTGGGACTATATGACTTTGGCTGAACTGTGGCCACTTAGGCCACAAGTAACATTTAAGGAATAGGTTAATGGTGTATGCTAAAACATAGTATAACAGTAGCACAAGTAAAGAGAAACTGACTCAGTAATATCTATCTAAATTTTGCTAATGTTAGTTAACATTAGCCACTGTAAGCTTCGCTTATATCAGATCAAGTAAGTGTGTCGCAAGTTTGTGGGGGAATGTGTTAAAGGTTCTGTAAGTGAAATCAGCATTTTGACTAACTTCCGGTCCGTTCTTGCAGTTCTCTCTCCTCAGTGGATAAAGGGGGAACCGGATAGCAGAAAATGTATTCTGTTTACTGCAGAAAGGAGGGACATCGATGGCTGTCAGAATGTAGAGCCATTTAACATTAATTATACCAAACTATCACTTACAGCACCTTTAAATTCCCATTCAAAATAGATATAGTCTCACTTTAAGTGGGTTATCAGCTCCTTAGGGAGGAGGTAGACCACACTTCCCGGCCGGTATCCACTAGATGTATCATTTAATCCAAATACAGGTCAAAACTCTGAAACCCAACAAGCACAAAACCTCATTTCTTTTCAAACTCTGTAGTGTTCAGTGTGAAGCAGCAGTGTCTATAAACAAGCCTTGCACCTTTCATTTGTTAAACTGTGTCATATTGTGTGTAATAAGGGAATTGTGTGCAATGTCTTCTCATTTGACAGTTCATTAGCATTGTTTTGTATAATTTCACCAAATTCCAAGGCCCATATGAGAATATTCATGCTGATTTGGTATTCAGTTGTATAATTGTCTCATTCTTGTACACTCTGACTGGCTTTCTGTACAATTAAATATCTAGTGGTTGAATTGTTTGGGACTTCCTGGAGCTTCCTCTAGGACCCCCCAGGTATCCCCTCATGGACTCCTGGGACTTCCTAGACTCTTTTGAGAGCCACTTTACCGTACTGCACATGAAAGGAGGTTTCAGATGTGTTTCTGTTTTTGTCGTTAGCTGAATGTTTTTTTCCGAGCCAACGCAGATGCACAAGCTCGTCACCATCGGCATGTGTTGCCATGGCTACCCCGGTCTCACCTAGGTTGCTGCACCCCGGGTGATCCTGAAAGGTAAATGGAGCTGAATGATCTTCGGAAGTCGGATTCTTTTCAATACAGCAACACCTGGCGAGGGCACGGCGGCCATTTTTTCCCTGCTTGACTGACTGACTGACTGAACCCCCCTCCTCTTCCTCCCGCCTCCCCCACCTCTTATCCCGGCAGGTGCCTGGCTGAATGGGACATCATCGCCGTGGAGATTGAGGCGATGACACTTGCACACAAACACACACGCACACACAGTCACAGACTTGGAAATGAGACTGGCTTTCATGAGCGAGCGGCACAGTCTGACTCGATGAAAAGTTGTCTCTCCGAAGGGAAGACAGCCGCGCGGATTGAGCTGTCACTTGAAGGGAACTCTGCTCCGCTCTTTTCATCCCTCTGTGTGAAAATGGACGGATCTCTCTTTCTCTTTCATTCTGTCAAATGTAAACCTTTCCTTTGGGTAATTCCAAACTAAAGCCTGGACTCGGGAGAGACAAGCAGGTGGAGATAAATGTACTCCATTTAAAGAACATTGACCGAGGCTGAAAACACTCCCCAACCCCCCGCTTCCTGTCTAAAGCATGTCAGTGTACAGTGCCAGAGTGAGGGAGGCAAATCACCACAGGGCTTTCCCCACTCTCCCCCATTTTAGTGTGTGATCCATCTTAACGCTCCTTTGGTCCTGTGCTGCCTGTTGGACTGTTGGTGAAACTTTGACCGTTTCTTAGACACATGAACTCCAACCGGTCTCTCCTGCACACACACAAAAAAAAACTAGAAGTAAACATTGACTCCAGTCAATAGAGATTGGTGGTTGATTGGTTTTAAACTGTGTTGGTGAAAACCTATGTATCTCTGGGGGGCATATATGCAGCCTCGCATGAAATATTTCTATTTCTGACTCATTCGTTGACATTTTGCCCTGCTGAATGTGCCCCCGAGGGGATAACACTCCATGCCTCTGCTGTGTTCACCTGTGAATAATAAAATAAATGTACAAGCTGACATTTCCTTACCTTGACCTCCAGATTGTCTGTTCCTTTCTCATGACGACTTACACTGTAGATTGTGTGGTGCAGATTTACATATCTTTCTGTTGTTGTTTTGGCTCTGGACTGTTAGGTTAAAGTGTCACTTTTAGTTTTATTTGAAGCTCTTCACACCCACATCAGATGAGCAGCGTAGGAATCATAGCGTTTCTTTATTCACAAAGGAGCTTAGCCAGTGGTGTAGAGTTGATGCTGTAAAAAGCATTTTTTTTGGGGGGGGGGCTTTTATTGCCTTTATGATAGTGACAGCTGAAGCCAGACAGGAAAGGGGGGGCAGAGAGAGGGGATGACATGCAGCAAAGGGCCGCAGGAACCCTGGGCTACTGCAGCAAGGACTCAGCCTCAGTACATGGGCCACCAGCTGCTAATTATACTAACATGAATGAACAGGAAAACATACTTTAATGTCTCAAATCTGAAGTTTTGAGGAGTGAGGTGCAGCCCCCAGAAAGACTCTACTCCGTGCCAATAAGTCTAAGCTCTGTGTCACTTAAGGTTGAAGATTGATTGATGGGTTATAATGTTATTGCTTAAAAAAGGTTGGTTCGACCTTACGTAGGCACACATCTTATGTTTTACATAAAGAAAAACTTGATTTCCATATAAGAAAACTGTGTTGTTTTAGTCATCCATCCATCCCACCAAGAGCGAGAAAAACCACATATGGAGGTGTTTCTGGCTCTTTGTATTAAGTCACCTGACTTTGATGGTGGGAGCATCCAGAAATGACGCTAAAGGGATACCTACAGTATTATAAGCAGAGGACTACTGACCAAGTTGCAGTATTTGACAAGTTATGGACCTTGAGGGTTGTTGAACCACATGGTTTTACATTGCACCTTTAGGGTTTCTCAGCTGTGTAGGCCAAAAGTTTTCTTTCCTAATTGATCAATTTACTTTTTCATTCTGGAAAGAATAAATTGACGAAACAATCCCCAGTGAAGCACATCGTCAGACTCATGAAAGACAACTTAAGTTTAAATCTATACAGTAGAACCAGAGCTATCGTCTTTTTTATTCCAAACATTCTTTATCCTTGTCAAAACCCAGTGCCCAAATTACCCACAATGTAACTCAATCACCATCACATGGCTTGGAGATTTTCAAACTTGTAGTCCTCAGCCCCACCCAACGCTGACTCAAGTGACATAATTTGAGGACATTTATCATACTTGACACAGCTCTCTCTGGAGATAATAAAGACTTTATACAATTGTTTTTCCATATGCTGTTACAGTCTGTCAGTGGTTATTGGATTTCTGTGTACAGGACCTTTGCTAGTAAAAGGAACTGATTATCTCACTGAACTCTTGTGTCGTGAGTCGTGCATTTTGTGAGTCCTGTTTCTTGGTACAGTTATATGCAGTAATACAAAATCCTCTGAGAGCAGTAATGATGGCTGCAGTGCCAGTCAGAGAGAGAGAGGAACCTGCTGATGTCTGTGGATCAGAAACTTCATTTCATTTTACACAAAGTAATATGATGACATTTATATTATTAAGTTTATCTTAGTTGGGCCAATTATGTAATGTCTGCTAATATTGAGGGATTTTCTATAAAAACGTCCTACATAAAATTCCTACACTGTTCACATAATTTGATTAACACCCTCAACCAGGGTCAGCACATTAACTTCACTGTTTCCTTTCGGATCCAATGTGTTAGAGCCAATACAGATACTGTGTAACTGTTCAAACATTTATTGATTGCACTTTGAGTTTGCAAAAATACTACTTTTGATTTAGTTTGATTTCGGTTTAGTTTTACTCGTATACGTACACATGGTCCCTTTCTTCTACTCTGGGTCTATACACCCAACAGTGGAACAGCTTCACATTAATTCAGACAATAGCTGTAACAAACACACTGGTTGAACTGTGATCCAATGGGAAGATACACCGTTCCAATTGTGCAAGTTTGGTCAAGGCTGACGTGACAGAACTGACTGAGCGACTGAGGGCCAGATGTTATAAAAGTTTTGTTGACCAAATTGAATCAGGCTGCTGAACCTTCGTGTTGATGTCTGGGAGAATCTGTTGATGGCCTGACCAGAACTCTGACCTCAACTCTTTAATGTCTGATGTTCACTACAGTGGAGAATTTCTGTCTTACATCTATGAATATTATCTTTCTATATTGTTTTAATGATTGAAATTGAAATTAACGAGAGCAGGAATATGAGTTAATCACTTTCTTCCAAACAAAGCTTAAGAAAAATATATTTTTTCTTTATTTTTTGGAGGATTTTATGCCTTGACACCCAGAGATAAAAAGGAAAAGGAGTAGAGAGAGGAAATGAGACATGCAGCAAAGGGCCGCAGGCTGGAATCAAACCCAGAGCACTGCAATAAAGACTAAGCCTTACAGCCTTACTTACTTGTTCTGAATGGGTCTCGAAATGTGTGGTAAAAAAAAATATTTGAAATACATAGCTCTCTGACTTTTATTTTGACAGAAAAACTTCTGTTAAGTGAAAACAGCCTGGTTTGGTGTGTAAACACAGTTATGTAGTTATGATGTTAATTTTATTCATATTCATAAGAATCAGCAGCATGCAGTTGTCATGTTCATACTCAGTTTATTATTAGACTAATGTGCTCTGATTGCAGGGATGAAAATGTGTGTAAATCTTTTTTTTTTTAAATTTAAAAAAAAAAGAGTGTTATGTGTGTTTACTAGCCGTGTGACTGCTCCCAGCGTGTGCAGAATGACAATGTTGTTAGTGTGTGTTTATTTGGGGTAGAAGTATATGCAACAGTACCCTCACTGAGTGCAGGGATGAAAATATGTTTATATTCTATGTACAAAAAGGTCCCAATGACACTGTTTACTAGCCTATTTGAAAAGTTTGCTTGGTTTTAATTCTATATAATTGGGTCACTACTTAATGACCATGGGAAAATGTAGGTCCCCAGGTGAGACCAGTTGAGAACCACTGTCTTAAAGGACCAGTGTGTAGGATTTAGTGATATCGAGTGGTGAAGTTGACTATTAAATAGCACTCGCAAAGGGCCCTAGCTGTAGCCAGTGTTTAGTTTGTCTGTTCTGGGCTACTGTAAAGACATGGTGATTCAACATGACGGACTCTCTAGAAGGTGACCCGCTCCCTCTGTAGATAAAAACAGCTCATTCTATGGTAACAAAAACACAATAATTCTTATATTTAGGTTATTATACACTAATGAAAATATAATATAATATTCATATATAATATATATGAATATTACATTGGATTTCTGACAATAGAGCCTCCAAAATTTTACACACTGGATCTTTACTTTACAAGATGATAATATGTCATGTTTGTATTGTGTGCACAAGGAAATAATTAAAGGCGCTGTAAGTTATTTTTTTTTTTGTTAGAATAAGTGTTAAATAGCTGTACATTCCGACCGCAATCACTGATATAGAGAGTTCAGTCAGTAACATGGCTCTCCCAGTCCATCCTTTCTGCAGTAAACAGAGAATACACTCTCTAGTATTCCACTTTATCCAATCAGGAGAGAGAACTCTAAAAAGAGGTGGTCCTCAAGGGCAATTCAATTCAATTCAGTTCAATCTTATTTATATAGTGCCAAGTCATAACAGAAGTTATCTCAGGACAGTTAAAAAAAGAGCAGGTCTAGACCGTACTCCTTACGGCAGGCAGCAGAATTTCAGTGATGGGACTGCTAACTGCAACAGCAGTCAGGAAGTTAGCCAAAATGCTGATTTCACTTACAGCACCTTTAATGCAGGTTTAACAAAATAAGAGGTAATGAATATTTTTATCTTTTTTTTTTTGCATTTGTTTCTGACTAATAATCTAAACAGTCTCTTAGAATGCAACAGAATATCTTGGCTAGCAACATGTATTGAAAATGCAGAATCTATACACTGGACACAGCACCTCCCTCATGTGCTGCTGTGTCAAATTAGATTTTTCCTACAGGGGACCAATAAAGGAACATCTTATCTTCATATTAAAAATAAAATGTCTAACTTTTACGTTAAACTCTGCTCATTTTGAATTCAGTGTGTTTTCACAAAAAATTATTCACAAAAAAATGATTTCACTTTGCTATAGTTGTGAAGGTTGCGACATTTGGCTCAATGTTTTGTACAGGGACTGCTATGATTGGTGTAACTTGCAGGAAACTACAAAGATTGGCCAAATTTGTGAAATCTTTTTTTGCAAGGTTGGGCACGAATTCACAGAGATTTGTTTAATTTGCATTGATTGTTGCAATTGCAATATTGCAACCTCCTAGAGGAACTGATAAAGTACTGTACGAATGCATTCATGTGAACAATTGTGGTGATTTTAGTGTTTGAGCTGAAGAGAAAGATGGCTTCTTACTGTTTAGAAAACGGTTTTGAACTCTCATATGTCAAAACATAATTAAAAGCTTTTTTTTTTTTCTTGCCCACAGTTTGGAGGTACAAGGACTTCAGTGATATATTAACACTCCACAATAATGAGATTGACAGCCACACTAACTGTTGCATTGAACATGTTAGGCTGCACGTGGTACAGATGGGTGACGAGGAGTAAACATTTCTATGCATCTGCAAAAGTCTGCATTAATCAAGTCTGCAGACGGCAGAGTGATATTCGCACTCACTGGGGAGGGCATTCGCTCGAACATATGGCCACAGTAATAGGCATGCACATACATAATGATGCACACGTACTACATGCAGGGATCGCTATAATTTGAATCGACTTTACAGGCAGATTGATTTTCCTTCAGGCAGTAGTTTTAAGTACAGGACAGATTGCAGCCCACACAAATGGCCTGATACAGCAGGATCCAAGCCTCAGTAACAATACCTTGATTCCCGCATTCAACCCACTATAAAGTCTGCTTCTGAGAAACTAAGGAAAACACTAGCAAGCTCTTCTTGCAGGTTCAGTCTAATTCTGTTGGTTATTTGTCCTGTAGCTTTTATTTCAGTGGCTGGGAACCTGCATGTTAATATTGGTCTGATG